CTCCACTGACCCCTCGCCTCACTACGTAACCTTTTTTGGTAACTGACAGTATATAACAAAGCGCCAGCGACTTGTATCCAACCACGGAGAATATCCGAAATGGTCTTTCTGTAAAAATTCCACTTTTGTGAGTATGTTTTTATCTGTTTTAAATCTGTCTCATTAAAACGTTTTTACGAGATGGAGGCGCTCTTTGTTTTTGTTTCTTCCAGAGTTTACCTATTCATGCCTGTACAAATTCTACCTTTGCGAGTATGTTTTTATCTGTTTTAAATCTGTCTCATTAAAACGTTTTTATGCGATGGAGGCGCTCTTTGTTTTTGTTCCTTTTTTGGTAACTGCCAAGAAAAAAAAAAAAAGGGAATACTATAAAATATCCCTCGAGTGACAGTTCTTGGGCTACTGGCATTACATACAAGATGGCAGTGCCAATCAGGAGTCTCAAGGCTTTTGGATGCACATGGAAGCCTACACCAGGGAGGCTTTTACAGGTAAATAACATGTGTAAAGTATGTTAAATGCACATATAAATATTATGGGAGGATTTTTATTGAAATGGTCTCTTTAAATGGGAGAACACAGAGTACATACGGTTGACATTAAAGCTCTCATTATTTAAAAAACAAAAAGTCTGTCTGGAAAACAACGATCCTTATAGTTTAGTGAATTGAGACTTGGCTCTCACAGCAAGCCATCAAAACTGATATCTATTATTTCTGTATGGAAAGGTTTAAAGTTTGATGGGCTGCAGGAGGAAAACTCTACATCAGTAAGAAAATATCACGGCAGGAGAATATTGTTTAATTTGTTCAAATGATCTCCTTTCATGACCACAGTGATTCTGGCCAGAGAGCTTTGAATAAATATATCATTAGTACTTGATCTTAATGCAGCAAGTGTGCACCTTGAGAGTATAGGCCTCCTATGACGAAGCAATGTTTATTGATCACTGCCAAATGACTAACTCTCAGCCCTCTGCGCTTGTTAACTGCCTGGCCACAGCACATACATAACAAGGTAAATTAAGCCAAGGCTTGTCAGAATTGGGCAAAATCTCTCATAAAGCAATCATTTGTGGACAGGAGGCTTCCGATGGAAGCAACCGAATTTCATTGCAAAGTGCAACATTTTAGTAATCTTTGTGTTTGAGTGACTTTAAGGGAGTACTAAAATAACCCTTTATAAAAAGATAGAAATGATTGTAAACTCATTAAATGTTATTGGAAATGAGAATCCGTAGAGCAGAGTTCCAACTGTGGGGACAATATGATTTTGTAATCCCTCTGTGACTGTTACAGCCGTTTTCATTATCTCTAGTATAGATGTTTTCTTTACCCGATTACCTTTTGTGATATTGAACTTGATGGAACCTTTACACATACTGGGTTAGCAAAAGCGGTCAGGAAAAACATCTGATCAGTGTAAAAGCTGGTCACACAGTGTACTCTTGGTATATCTTCTGGGAATCATAGAATAACAGCTATGAGGCATCTACCTGGCTAGATGTCAATGCAATATTCAGGTAATCCTAAGCTGAAGTGTAGGGTTACCTTTGCTGTGTCGGCCGCACAGCGCCCTTGTTGCCATGGCGCCCTGTGCGGCCGCACTGCTCGCACACCCCTAAGGCCGGCCCTGCCTTAGGGCCTATGTGCAAGGACTTGAATAGAAGGTCTATGGAAATGCATCATCTGCTCCAAGCAGGGCAAATGCACCTGTCTATGAATTTGGAATGATCTCACAATCGTCTCAAAGATGTCAAAGGCACGGGGCCCTTAACCTGGTCACAAACATTAACAAAAAAGCCTGTTTGTGCAATAATCAAAGCTTATAATTCATAAACATGGCCAGGTACTATTTGTTCCTATTCACTAACTGACCCGACTTCCTTTCATGCAGCACTCCTGACCTGCTTTCTGTTCTGTATTCAGATTTGGCTGTGAATGATCATTAGAAAATTACAGTCTTCCTTTACCAACTTCGCGACAAACGACCGGAACACAGCGTTCGCTTCTTACCTGTAATTTATCATCAAAATTGATTTCTTCTTTAGAAATCCTAAGCTCTTGCGTTAAATGAAATGAGTGAACAAGATGTTCTGGGGACACAAAGTCTTGAGTGACTTGGACGCAGCTGTGAAAATTTTGCACCTGTAGAGAGGAAAATACAGTATGTAAGTGAGCGCCACCATCCACTTCTGATGAATGAGTACTCCAATTCACCACCCGCATTGCACACAGAGCATGTTCAATGTTTACAAACACATGGATGTCGCCCGTTTCTTGGCTGTGAAAGGAGTGTGGCAGAGAATGCTTAATGCATGCAGAAAACTGTATTTAGCGGAAAGTATTTAGTCTTTAAAGCGTCTTTTACCTTTTCCAATGTTTACAGTAATTGCTGCCAACTATGATGACTCTTTCAGCTTACGAAAAACTGGTGTATAAATACTCTGCTCCAATCTCTCTCCAGACTTCCTGTTATTTGCTGCTTTCTTGCACGGCATGGAAAGAGTAAAGCTGTTAAATTACAGCCCACATATCAGACACCTCTGCCCATCCTGTGACAGTCATGTGTCACTGCTCTGTGCATGTGTCAGCTGCCAGGGGGAGTGGGGTGGAGATGGAGATGAGGGCTCAGCTGCTGACTTGACAAAATCAGGATTGGCATATCAGTAACATTGCTGTTTATAGCCAGCTTAAGCTGCATGTTGTGGGGAAAGGAGGAGTAGATTATGAAGGTACCACTGCGTTTACATGGTTGGGGAATGAACCGATTTGCAATAACTTTTTCCTAGACAAATGATAATTTGATCAGCGTAATATTTCCTTTTATCAGTATGAATTCATATTTTGTCTTCTTTCCATGTATGGTTTGTAATTATACATTTACATAGCACATTCAGTATATGAAAGAAGCCATACTCTCTTATATACAGTAAATGTGATGTGCTGCTCCTCCTATAATTACCCCATTAATTGATCACAAAGCAATCTCGTCTCTAAATTGTTCAGCAAAACGCTGTCTGCACAAATATCACTGTGCTTCAATAAATAAATTCGACCATCTTAAAGAAAATGAATTAACCCTTGCAGTGCAGCTAACCCAGCACTCCAAGGGGTTTAGTGCTCATTTGTATCTAGCTTGTTCTTAGACTAGTGTCTCTAGAACGTCTCTCCCCCGCTGCTGCAGCAGGCTACGGACCCTGGTGTCATCACGCTCTATACACTGTGCATAGATGTGAGGATGCCGAGGAGCAGTCCATCTGTGCATCAGAGGAGGAGGAGAAACACTTCAGTGATCACAGAAAGAGGGAGCCGGCTTGGCTCCAATGGTCTGGCCTTAACTTTTCTTTTTTTAGCCCCTAGACACAAACGAGCAGCTAACCCTTGCTGTCCAGGAGTAGCCCCACTGCCAGGGTAAATACATTTTGTTTCTTGGAGTTCGTCTTTAATCGTGATAAACATATTGGGGGATTTTTTAATCAGTGACTGCTTGAAGGGCTTATAGTGCAAAAAAAAAACATTTCTCAGAATAGTTAGATTTCTGGGGAGGGGGGTCCACAATGAAAGCATACACAAAGATAAAAGCCTCATTGCACACAGGCATACACTAAAAATGTTTCCTAAGCCCAGAAAGCTTAGGTGTTGAATACATCTGCCCATAGATACTGTACCCTGGTATTTGCGTATACTTGTGTATAGAGTGCGGAAGTACTCCCCGAAGTCTGCATTTGGAGAATACGTCTGTACGCAGGTAGTCAAGATGCCCTTTTGTATTATTTTTACTGTTTTCATTTACAGTGTGCCATTTACAAAGGGCTAGGGTGTATTTAAGGGTCCCAAAATTGCTGTACTACCCCCCACTGTCTATCAGGCAGTTGATGGCCATCGACACAAGTGTTGTGTAATATGCAAATGTAAAACTGTATCCTCTTTTCACCTGATAAATGGCTCCCGCAGGTAAGATGACTGCGTCACCGAGGAATTGAACAAGTGTGTGGCTCTTCACCCCGTAATCCTCCAGGAGACTTTGGCGGAGTTTTTTATTTAGGTACCAATTCTGGTCTCGTATTGGGTCGTGATCAGGAAGGATTTCAAGACACTGCTCTTTTGCAGCCTGTGAAAAAATGACAATACCTCAGACAAAAAGTACGGAGTGACAGATCGGCAATACAAAGACATCCCATATAATATAAAATGACATCCCATGTATTTTTACACTAACGGTCCGTATTGCCTCACAACAGCCAGCTTCCATTGTGCACCAGGAAATCTGAACATAATAGGCTGCTGTGTGGTAATACAGACAGATAGAATGTTTTACATGTGACTGAAAACATTAGCTGCCTAAGCACTATAATGGAGATAAAAGGCATCTAAATTGTGTAAGATCTACACGCTGTGTGGAAATTATTCAGAGTTACACAACACTTCCAAGGAAAGCAGAAGGGCCATTGACTAACCCTGACCTGCAATTGGAAGACATTTCAGTACCACCAATTTTATAAAAATATTAAGGACCCATTTTAGACTATTGCGTTGTGGCAACACTCAGTACATGCATTGGGGTGCCATTCATTTTTTTTTCCTTATGGAGAATAGGGGCTTAAGAAAGAAAACGATTTTTTGCTTTATACAAATGCTTTCAATTAAATCAAAAATTAGAACTCAGACTGCAGGTTTTTGTTTTTTGTAACTTCTGGAAAACCCATGAATACCAGATATAGTCAATACATTAAACATCTTTGAAAGTACATTCATGTTTTTACTGTAGAATATAAGTTACGTGTTTTATTATTATTAAAAGTACTATAAGATTGGTTATGCTTTACCTTGTGTAGAAATTCCCTGATTTTATCTGCGTCTTTTGTCTCGTAAATGTGCCAAAGGGATCCGGGAAGCTCGCTGGCGTCCTTCAATCTCTTCCTTATGTTTTCATCCAGCTCCTCTTCCTCAAACTTCTTTAACACAGCTGTAAAACAAAGAGAAAAGGCCTCATTTATAATCAAGCATCAGTGCAGGCTCTAGTCACCCATGTGAATACAGATTGTGTATAATGTCACATTACATTTATAGAAGTGACAACACACCTGACTTGGTTGCTGAAACATTGCCTTTTACTGCACCGACATACACCAGAATGTTCACCATATCTGAAACTTCAATGTGAAGATTTGTTGTGCCGGTGTCCTGTTCTTTTGTCGCAATGACTCCTAAAATATGCAATACACAAGGGGAAAAAACATGCTTGAGACAATGTTAAAGTAAAGCTTATTGTTTTATTAATTTGCCATGTGCTGGTCTATTTCTGCTTTGAGGAAGGATGTGGAGAATCCCTCTATAGGGATTTAGACTCCGCCATGTTTACCATGATTGTCAGATTAGAACATTAGTCCACATTTTTATAACGGAACACAGTGAATAATGGAAAGAGAATTGGGATTGCTCCTCTCCTGTCACACATGAGCGACTTGCTTCAAAACACTAAGTGAGGATCTCTCATTATGGCACAACTCCTGACTACTTGGCCAAAAACTTTGTGTGATATAACAAACAGGCCTCTTATTATTTGCTTCACCACTCTCAGATAATAGCTCGGATTATGAAAACCCGGACAGGGGCAACAGCTCTTCTTTTCTTAACAACCAATTTATTTATTTTTAAATAAGGGGTCGTTCACAATAACATGCAGAGTTTTACCATGTGGTCGTGTGTCTGTGTAAGTGTGGGGGTGTTTAACACTGAGAATGTACCACTTAGGTCACGACACGGTGACCTCTGGTGCCATCCAGCCTGCTTGAATTGTCAGCACTGCATATCACATGAGCGCTGTTTGTGTACGGGGCACATAGAAATCTATTGTTTTCTATATCATTTATGCAAAAATAAAAAATGCATATACTATAAACAGCAGCACAACTCATTGAGTGCTAATCAGCGTCTCAACACACAGCTTAGACAATGTCAATGATCACTGATATCCATTTACAAAAGAGATGCACTGTAGGGCCAAGAATATCAGTGCAGGACTGCTGCACCCCCACCCAGAAATGTAAATTAATTTCCTTTGTGAATCTCAGCATTTTAGCTTTAGATGGGGGCAGCCCCAAAGTAAAGATTGAAATGCTTCTCACTAAAAACTGTGATATGTCATGAGAACAGCGTAATGTAAATGTGACACATTTCCCATTTCACTGCCATAGGCCTTAAATTCTTTCGCCATATAAATGATTCATTTACATCAGTGCTTTGGTTATTAAGCATGAACTCACCATATGCGCTGCACATCCTGGGGCCCAAGTCTGGGCGCACAAAGAATGCTGGCATGAGAGACGCCAGGTTGAACTTCCCTTCTGGGTTGAGGTATTCTGGGACCGGCAGCATTCGAAAGAAATCTTCGTGTCTGAGGACAACACAAATGCATGTTAGATGTTTCAGTTTTTATAATGGAATTACACTATGATTGAGATTAAAAGTTCAATCTTTTTCACATGCACCTAATCAACAATAACAGCTTACAAGTCTCAGCAATATATAGCCAATATTACATAATAACCTATGTCAGAAAGACACTGTGTTCCTATCAAGTCTTAACTAGAAACATTTGATGACAAAACCAGAATCATGGTCAGGGTATATCCTGAGGGCTGCATCACATGACCTGATAAGTAAAAGCAACACAACCCTTTCATTCAGAGGAGTATGGGCAGATTTCTTATTGTCCGTCCTTTTTCAGGAAAATCGGCTGTAAACTGTGACAAACAGGTATTCTGTGCGAGAAACTCCCATCATCCTACAGGTGGTGCTGTGACATCTGTGTATTAGTCCACAGTCACAATGTAAGGATGAAAACACTGTATATCATTTCATTTATTACAGATAAATCTCATTCTTAAAATAGGGAATTTCAACTTGTTATAACTTCTTATGAGAAGTATTGAACTTTGCAATGGTTGGCCAGAGGTATAACGAATCTGATGTATGCTTAAATGTAAGCAATTTGCGCAAATCAAAATGCTTACAGTGAGACAGTAAAATGGTTCAAATAAAATCTGCTGCCAACATATTAGAAACATTTAGTGGTCTGGGACTTTTCTACAGGTCTTTATGTGGCCTCTATGGATGCTATGAAAGGCCAGAGTGGTGTCTTCAAAGTTAACGTTAAATTGTGTGAATGAATTGTTAGAAGTCTCTTTAGTGTATTTTTTTAGCCAATTAGACCTGCGGTGCAGCTTGGTTGGACCACCTGAAGCAAAGAAGAATGCCCAGTACTTCCGTTTTTAGGGAAGCATCTGACATCATTGGTGATTGCCATTTATTCACCAGCATTGTCACATGCATGTCAGTGGAGATAAAGTCCTGAGCTCTATAAAAGATCCAAATCTTACAAAGATATCCTAGTTTACCAAATGGAGTAGGGGGAGCCAATGAAGGTAATGCAACTCATTGGATTTTTTTAAATTTACTTATGCATTTAGCCTATGCAGGAAAATCAGCAAAATGCATCTGGTGGCACGAGCACTGAAGGTGACAAAGCTCATACTGGCTGCCCTCCTGCCTTCAGCAATGAGACACAATCAGAAGGCCTAGTTCACCCAAGCCTCAGCTTGTAACTGCTAGTCTAAATAAAGAACAGTGGGGGGAATTTATCAAAACTGGAGCAGTCAAAATCCTGAGCAGTTGCCCAGGGCAACTAATCAGCTTCTCTGTTCAGTTAAGATTTAAAAATGAAAGAGGGAAGCTGATTGGTTGCTGTGAAAAGCTGGTCCAGATTTTGTCTGCTCCAGTTTGGATCAATTCCCTTCAGTGCAAACAGTAAAATGAATCCAAAGCGCCAAAGACTGACCGACAATTGAAAATTATGTGCAAGCGAGGATAACTAGGGGTGCTGCCCCACTTCAGCCTGGGAAGCTGCAGCACTATGGGAGAAAACAAAAGAGAAGGGCGCCCACCCTAGTGTAGATGTTTTTAATGATAAAAGCTGAAGTACAGGATAAAATCATACTCACAAAAGTGAATCAGTGAAAGCATAAAAGGCAAGCCTGGACGACATCTGAAAACGGCTGCACAGTCCTGTGCTGTTACACAGGTGTCTGTGCAGCCGTTTTCAGATGTCGTCCATGCTTGCCTTTTATGCTTTCACTGATTCACTTTTGTGAGTATGATTTTATCCTGTACTTCAGCTTTTATCATTAAAAACATCTACACTAGGGTGGGCGCCCTTCTCTTTTGTTAATTCCCTTCAGTGTGCATAGCAAGCACATTTGTTTACATCTGTTGCCCTGCATCCACTTCTGTAGTATAGGGATCTTCTAAGAAGGTGATGGGCAGTTGTGTTACCTTGTTAACACACAAAGCTACTCTAAATGTGCCCAAAGTTAAAGCTGTGCATGACTAATGTCATATTTTACCATTTCTAACTAGTCAGAGGCAGCACAGCTACCTACAAATGATATAAGAGAAGGTAAGGTCTTTTTAAATGGTCAAAACCTAATTTAGTAAAGTGTAGGAATAGAATTATAGATACGGCACATTAAACAATGACGACCACTACAAAGCATCTGCCTGTGTTACCTTTCAGGCATCATGTTCTTGAAGTCATCTCCGGAAGGCTGGTCTTTCATCTTCAGTAGGATAGTTTCTCCATTTTTCAGTTTCTGACGTTCTGTTTTTGGGGGAAACAAAGTAACAGTTAAAAGGGCCTCGGATGTGACAGCAAATATTTTTTTTTCTATTGCAACCATGCTTTCACGTACTGGATACATCCTCAAATCCATCCCAGAACTCCTTGACATTTCCGCTTGACACAATGCCCTCCTTGCAGTTCAGAAGATCCCCTTGATGCTCCCCAAAGTCCTGGCATATTGCTTCTGACTTCCAGAAGTTGGCATTCATTTTCTTTTGATTCCCAGAAACCAGCACAGTCTAAAAGAAATACAAGCAGAGATTTAAATGGTAAGTTATAACTTTCTTTGCATTGTTTTATTATACAAAAATAAAATTGCCCAATCACCTTCCTGACTAAAGAACTAATGGAAGAGGATCAAGTGAGGACAAGATAACCTGGGGAATGTAACGTATTCATCTTAGTGACACTTCCACTTACTATTAACCACTATGGTATGAGCCACCTAAAGAATTTTAGTGAGGATAAAGGGCATCAGGCTCAACTATTGTACAGTGGTAATAAATGGAATCTTGCGATGCATATTGAATGTAAAAAAACATTTTGTACATTTAAAATCAAATTATTAGACTGTGCCAATTATGTGAATATATATTGAAATACAGATTTCTTTTTTCACGGCTTCTTCAAAGCCATTGTCAGATAAGCAATAAGAATCATCGCCAACAGGGAGGCGTGCAGGGGACAGCCATCCCATCGCGGGGGTGTGCAGGGGACAACCACCTCATCACAGGTGGGGGGCGGGTGTGCAGGGGATAGCCGCCCCATCGTGTTGCGGCGTGCAGGCTACAGCCACCCCATCGTGGGGGGATGGCAGTGGAGTGTGACTGCCATCGCGGGGGCTTGCAGGGGAGAGAAATTGCTCTTCCTTGCATACCCCTGTGATAGCAATCGCCATCATAGGGGTATGTAATCACCATCACAGGGGAGGGCAATCACCAGTGCAGCAGGAGGAGAAGAGAAATCGCCATCAGACTGGGAGGGGGAGAGCAATCACCATCACAGGGATGTGGAGAAGAGCCATCGCTATGACATGGGCAATCAGTCCACAAAACAGCCACATTTTTGCAAACACTGTTCTCCACCCTCAATCAGAAAAACTGATCTCATCTTCAGTGAGAGGATTCAGCCCAGTAAGATTTAGATGGGATAGCTGTGTCACAAAAAGTTATTACCCTTACAAATTAAGGATTCCTTTACTGTGAGGCCACCATAAAGCTACAAAATGTATTTGTAAGTACAGTGATGACTTGCACTAAATCCTGTGTTCATTGTGGTCATTAGCATGCAGTTTCCTCATCGTAGTATTAATATCTATTCAAACACTTCTGTGCTGTTGCTTGGCAACCATTGAGGTGCGAGGACATAAACAGATGCCATGAAACGTCTCCCTGCAGCAATCTGATTATGTGATGATGAACCAAGTGCACCGAGACAGAAATGTGCAAATACCCGGCACAGTCACCCTGATCATGTCGGCCTCCCAACATCCACTTTAAGGAAAAGTGTAGTTTTAAAACATCCATCATTTGGCCGGCACCTTCTTTATTACATTTCCACACTATAAAATACAGACCTCTGACATATGCAGATTAAATACTGTTAACATTGCAAGGCACCCACAGCACCTTCTGAATGTTCTGCTCCCATGAGAAGGATCCTCCTAACCCTCCTGTATTGATGTGCTCTGTAACTGTACTGTCTCCCCTATACTGTAAAGTGCTGAACAAACTGTTGGTGCCATATAAATCCTGAATTATAACAGTGTCAGTCTCTAGCATGCGTGCGATACTCCATAAGATGTCCGGTGTGCCGCACAATGATAACAATGGCATAGCACTGGGCAGGCCAGGCAGTGAGGATGGATTAGTCTGCATCTCCGATCTGTACGTATATGTTTACTATAACTACAACTATGAATGAACAGGAGGTGATGCAGATCACTTCCCATTCATTCATAATTGAGGATATAGTAACCATACCATGTTCTCATGTTATGTACAAACACTCCGAGATCACTGATCGCTAAGTGTTTGCATTGGCTCTCCTCTCTGACACGCCTTCACAGGAGGCTGATCGAGTGGTGCAGGGAGGAGAGCTCAGCCTCCTGTGACAGCGCGGCCTGTCTCCGCCCCCACACCGCTCTGCCTGACTGTGATAGGAGGCTGAGCGGTGTGGGAGGAGACGATGGGCGCTCACCTCCCGCAGCGCTAGGCCGGCTATCACAGTTTCTCTCCTCCCCGCTGGGATACAGAGCAGCGCACAGCGGGGGGGAGAGAATGCAGGGATGCGCCGATGTATCAGCAGGAAAATGGCACTTTCGGCATTATGCCAAAAGTGCAATTTTCCCTACTCCCTAGTCTCCAGACAACAAGAGCCTACATGACATAAACGCTCCGCTTATCGCACTATTCATATGAAATAATATTCTCTTGTATGTGGCTGCCTTAGTTCAGCTATAAATGGCAGTCTCCATTCTCTAATGACGGAACCACTTTAAGAAATAAGGATGACAGACCCCAGAGCCTGCACCTTCTTAAACCATCCAGCAATGATAGCTCCCAGATTTTTATGCTGGCAGGTTGTCTTTAAAGTTAAGCATCATTACAGAAGACAATCCTGCTATACGGAGGTCCAGGTGATAAACAATAGATGTAGAAAAGTAGTCAATGTGACAACTTCTCACATATGGCTCCCTTGTACTTTTCTGCCCCCTGCACAGAAACAAAGGCTGTACATAGTCTATAAGAACAACAGTGAAAATACACACCACTCACTAGTCCACTAAACAAAGGGATGTCATTAAAATACATGGAGCAGAAAACCTGTAGCAATGTTTTAGAAGCATGCAATGGGTTCCAGACCTAGGGTGATATAAATTACATAGCAGCATATGTCTGCTTTCTATTTTGTATCTTTCGTCAGTGGCCCATGAACTCCTGGCATTATCTTTCCTACTTCTTAGAAAAAATAACAGAAGTTTTCCATAACACAAAAGAAATTGCATGATTTAGAAGCTCTGCACCCGCTTACAAGCACGCCACTAAATTGATAACAGTAGTCAAATTTAAAGTACTTTTACTTTGAAAAGCTGAGCTCGGCAAATTTCAGAACAAAAATCGCTCAGCAGCACTTTTCTAGAAATGTCAAGCTTATTTAAGAGATGATTTAGAAGAGCCGTTGCTCTTTTTTTAAAGCCACGTAATGCTATAAGAACCAGTTTTGTGATGAATGCATTCCTTTCCCAGATCTTCTTCATTAGCACCGCTCACTGTCCCTTGTGTGACAAACGGCAAGTCTTGCATTCCGTGATGGGGAAGAAAGAACTTAAAATACAAGGGATGTAGAACTTAAAATAGGTCTAAACCTATTATGTTTATACCGTATAATGCTACAAAAGGCTGGGTTTCTTAGACATGTCAAGTCCCACCAACCGTTCATAAAATGCACTGTTGTGATACCTCTTAGGCTGAGTTCACAGCTGGACATACGGAATATGCGCGTTTGCCACAAGTTTTTACCGCGATTTGTGGTTAAAGAAACGCGCGTTTACGAGAGCTATCCAGCTGTATCCTAATGGATACGCGAGGAAAATATGCCCCAAAGAAGCTCCTGTACTTCTTTTGGCGTAGGGTGTTTTTCAGCACGTTCCTACGCGCTGTAAAACACCCAGGTGTGAACCATGCCCATAACAAATAATGGGATTTCACTGTTTGTGCGTTTTACAGCGCATAGGAGCGCGCTGTAAAACGCCCAGGTGTGAACCAGGCCTTACTTAACCATTGCCTATGTGAGATCAACTGCAAAACTTGCACAACTGGTGGAGAAAGTTAGTGGCGTTAGGAAAGTGCATCCAAAACACTCAAAAAATAAATAAATACACATTTTCTGACTGTTCCCAAGTTACTCTCTCACACTAAAAAGCATTTAGTCTCTAGGTTGGGACCCTGGATGGAGTCCAGCAATTGGGTTTGGGTAACAAACTATTAAAACCATAATTGCAATAGGGACACATTTTTTGAAACAAAACAATGGCAGCTGACATATGGGAGTGGCAAAAAACAGCACACCTGACTCATAGCCACAACATTAAAGCAGAACTATGTTTTTTTTATATCGTAAGCAGGTATAGTTTTCAGGCAGAAAATAGAATGAGAGGAATTTATCAGAACCGGAGCAAACATAATCTGGAGCAGCTGTGCATGGCAACCAATCAGCTTCTCCCTTTCATTTTCAAATCTTAACTGGACAAACTGAAGAGAGATGCTGATTGGTTGCCATGGGCAACTGCTCCACATTTGGTCTGCTCCAGGTTTGAGAAATTCCCCTAAATGTGTTTTGGGAGTAAGAGCTGTGGGCCAGGACAAGGAAACTTTCATGTTAGGGAGATAGGTCATCTTTTGCTGGCCAATGCAAAAGACGGAAAGGCTCCAGACCCAGAAGAAGATGGCAGCAGCCATTCGACGAGCACAGGCGTCACAATGCTGGAGAAGAGCAGACTAGCAGGTAAGTCTGCCATAATCTGCACATATGCTGGCCATACTTGTACATTATGTACAGATCATTGGCGGCCTATACTCACCGAAGTCTAACTGTAACATCCTCAAAAATTAAATGGTTAAACCCTAGAGCACTATCTGGCGACAGGTGAGTCACCAGGATCGCTTCTGTTGTAAAGCCGACAGTCGGCTCTACAAGTTTAAACAGAGTCCCGGCGGCAAAAGTCACCGGGAGTCTGTTTAAACAGCCCCGATGCTGGCGACGTACACTGTACGTCGTCAGTCACGAAGGGGTTAAAACAAATTTTGCAAGGTGTCTGTGAAGGTTCTCATTCATCCAGGTCATGGTATATCTGTAAAAAATAAGTCAAGGCAGCTGTATTTTTCTTGAAGAGGTCAAGACATTCTGAATTAAGAAAGCTGGTTGGATGATCAGTGAAACGTCTTCAAGAAAAATACAGCAAGTCCAGTTGCCTTGACTTATTTTTTACAGATACATTTTGCGAGGCTTACTTTTTTATTGCTGGTAAATACTCTGAAACACCTTTTGCAAAGTCCATGGCTGGGCAGGAGGCTGCAAGAGGACTACTGCCATCTATGCGTAACTGTCCAACAAGCTCCTTGCGTCAGTCAGAGCTAGGCAATCCGGAGGGAGTGTGAGTTTTCCCATTTGCCTAGTGCTAGTTCTGATTCAGCAGGAGGCACGTCGGACCGCTGCAGAGAGACTGCTCAACTCACACAGATAGCCATTATCCTCTCATAAGCCTCCTCCCCGGACACTACAAACTTGAAGAAACAAGAGTTAACTATGCAATTTTTGAGGAATTAGTTGCATTTTCAAATAGGTTGAGTATTTGTGGCAAATGTCTTATTTTCTGAGCTCTAGCATACCAGCTTTGGGTTTGTCAAAATTCTCTTTTAATGTGCAGACAAGTTCATGAGAAGGAATAATCATCACCTCCGTTTACTGAATCATCGGTTTAATGATGATAGACTTCAGTACATGACTCATCTGAAATCAGACCTAAATCTACACCTATTGCTGCCTAGATGACAACACTGATTCAGGTGGTTATGAAATTGTCTTTCTGCTCTTAAAATATTTTATCCGAAACCATCAGGCTCCTGTGTAAATGGGAAGTTAATTGATAGAATTTTAGCCAATCAAGTTGGGATAAAGAAGTTGGATCAGGGTCACTACTATCCCTGGATCTATATATCAACTTCAAAGTCATGGAAATCCTAATACCACAACCTAAGCCTGATTTTTCGACCCCCATTTATAAACATTATAAAATCTTTTAGGGCTTGTTCAGACCAAGCTGTTCCAGGAGCAGAGCAGTTACAGACCGGAGCAAAACTGCATCCAAAGTATTCCAACGGTATTTTGGGCTCTAGTTCACACCGCAGCGTTCAGTTCCAGAGCATGTAAAACAAACTGCAGCAAGTCCTATTTTACCTGCTCTGGAACACATGCAAATGCCCTAGAACGCACTTGAAAGCCCATTTTAAACTAAAAAAAACAAACTATTTTTTTTTAACCAAAAACGGCCTTGAACGCATCAAAAAACACGGCATAACATACTGCACTGCGTATGCAGAAACTCATGCAGATCGGGTCTGCATTTGGTGTGAACAAGCCCTTATAGTTCTCCAACATGGCGAATTCTAAAAAGGGGACTTGAATTTGACAATCCACATAAAAGGGATACCACCGTCACCGATCTGTATTCCTGGCAAAGGAGACGCTTATAGGTGTTCATTAGACAAAACCATTAAACTAAACCGAATTGGGTATGGCATAATAAATGCAAAAGAAAGGAAATCTGTTAGCCGAACATTCTTAAGCTCCTCTCCCAACACTTGGATTCTTTTGGGTAAACTCTCAGAAACATCAGGGTTAAAGTCAAGCATTTCCATTTAGAACCTCCTGAACTTCTAGAAAGACTTATTTAAAAAGAATTTCAATTTCAAATGGCTATATAACTATTCTCTATTTATGTATGAACTTTATGGTAAGCAAAATACATTCCAATATATGAGACAATTAACAGACGACTTGAAAACCACTTTCCTTCCTATATCTAGGTTGGATGAGTGCCTATAAAATATCACGTCTTCCCACACTTGCCCAATCATTTCATAACTAACAAGCAGTCATATCTTGCAAAGATTGGAATCTCTGAATTGCACATTTTTGCTTTTCTAGAGGACTACATGTTAACAAGAAAAAACCTCTATAGGACCAACATAGGACTGAGAATTTCCAGCCTCCTACATAATTGTCTTTGCTCTATCAACTCTATTCCCAACGAGATATTCCTTCCTGGGTGTAGCAGGAAGCAACCTCATTTAACCCTTAAACAACCAACAAGATTCTTAAAACAAACCTTTCCAAAGAGACACAAGGGGGCTGCCATTGCTGACCACCTTCTGAAAATGTTAGCTGCAGAGTGGTTACGCTGACACCCCTTAAAGTGACCATGTCACCACAGGGTCATGTTCATCGAACAAGTCACATTTATAGGGCTGTAAGTAATGATCATTTTCATAACAATTAGTTGGCAGATCATTTTTTTGATTAATCAGATACAAAAATAAAATAAATGCCATCCTTAATTTAAAATATAATACACAAATGCAGTTTTACAAACATATTGTTTCCTTCATAATAAAATTGCATGCACAATATTTTGCAATGCAGGCAATCACACTGTGGGTGGGAGGTGCATTTGTCAGTCCTAAACCGAAAAAAAAAAATTTCCCACCTTTTATAATTTTTTTCTATTAACTGTATTGTAAGCACATGGCGCTTGAAAAGCTTCAGCCAGGGAATGACAGTTGCCAGTGAAAAGATTCCAGAGATGGCAGCTGAATGTAAATACAGCAGGCAGTGGACTGCTGCAATAGCCAGCCTACTATTGGCCATTTCAGCTGCAATATCCAATAGCAAGCTGGCTATTGCACCCACCCACTGCTTGCTGTGCCCTCCTCCGAGCATGGAGGAGAGAGCTATGGGATCCAATCAACTCATCGATGATGAGAATAGTTATTGACTATTCTCTATTCTCATTATCGATTAGTTGGTTGCAGCCCTACAAATTAAATAAAAAAAAGTGTGAAAGTGTGAATATACTAACCTTTTCCTGCTTCTCTACACCCCTGTTGGCTGCTGTGGCTGGCTT